AGAAGAACCCACAGGGCTTTTAAACATGTCAACAACACACTGCCAGTGTTCTACTCGCAGTAACAAAAGCCTGGACCCTAGTACTATTTGAGGATTGGTTCATGACTTGTTTCATTCCACGAGCCAAAAAGGGTATTGTCACCAACAAAGTTCCATTCAAGATTTTACTGATTTGGATAATGCTCCGGGACACCCACCACATCTGGACGACATACTAGTGTTAAGGTAGTGTACATGCCACCTAACACTACCTCTATCATCTAACCATGGATCAGGTACTAGCTTTACCTTTAAAGCGTATTATTCATACGACCTTACAAACTCAGGCTGTTGCTACTGAAGGTGAAAGCGCTCAGACAGTTTGGAAGAGAGTACAACATTTTGTCATGTATAAAGAGCATGGTGCATTATGGGATCAGGTTACAAAACGCATGAATGGAATATGGAAGAAAATCCTGAAAAAGATATGTGAACAGTTTCAAAAGTTTAATGAAAGTGAAGTTTATTTGGATAATAGTAACAAGATAATTGGAGTTAGGTAAACTGCTGGAGTTAGAAATTGTTGCTGAAGATACCCCGGACCCAGTTGGTTGAAGGGTGTAGCAGAAAGAGCTCCATTAACGAGGATCTTATTGAACTAGATGCACAGAAAGTTGCAGAAGGAAGAAGAGACAAAATGTAGAAGAAGCACACTTTAAAAGGTTTTCAGTGGAAACATATAGCGAGAGGCATTTGCTACAATTAATAAAAAGAAGCAATGCAAATGTTTGATGACATGGATCAAAATTATAGGCGTTATGCCAAAGTTGACAGAATGATCCAAGATTCCTTGCTTGCTACAGAGAAATTTATAATGAAAAGAAAAAAAACTGTGCAGTCTAAATTGGACACCTATTTCAAAGTCCCCAGTACTTGGCTCCTCACGCCCCCACCAGTGCTGCCTCTTCCTCCCTCAAAGATGGAAGTCCAATACCTTCAACCAGCAAGTTACACAGTACATAAACCTGTCTGGAAAGGCAGGCATTGATGGCCCACAGCCTGTCTCCTCTTCTGCTTCTTCCAATTAATATAGTCTCCATGTATCCTGTAAATAGGGAGTATGGGGGCCCGTGTGCATTCAGCTGACTACGACTGGGTAAGTGCTCCAGTCACACTGTATCCATTCCTCGTGGCTATTACTTTTACTGTTTTCTTATCCATTCCTCATTATTTTTACGTTTTAGTGTACTGTATTTCATTGTAGGTGCAAAAAAATTTGAAAAAAAAAAAAAAAAAAAAAAAATTTTTTTATTTTATTTTTTTATCTATATCAGTTTTGACATATCGGACTTACGACCTGGATTTGGATTCTAACCCCGTCGTAAGTCAGGGTCTGAGATTATATATATATATATATATATATATATATATATATATATATATATATATATATATATATATATATATATATATATATATATATATACCTGGTTGGGTCCCCGTCAGCTGAAAGTCGGGGTCTAGAGTTATATATATGTGACCCCTGCGTTTGAACACCTCGGTTACTTGTAATTTGATTAACGAACTGCCTTCCCACTAGAGGATCTTCAATTAGTTTAACTTGAAAAAAAAATTTAAGCAACGAACTTTTTCTGAACCGACCTCAACATGTTTTTCGCTTGCACTGACGGGCAACCAGCTTTAGTATCAGTCCGCCAATGATTAATGGGTTCAGGAGGCAATTCCAACCTATTTTTGTAAATATCAAGAAGTTTATACTATTCAATAATTTTAAAAGTTTAATATTCAATTTTTTTAGTCATTTTAACAATTATTGAACATAATTGAGTAAAGTGACTAGTTTAAATACATGACCAGCCTCTTAACTTTGTAAAACAGAAGCGTCAGTCTCTCTCTGTTTTCACTGGAGTATATCTTGCTTGAGACTCTCTTCAACTAACGCTTTTTCTGTGTTTCCAAAGCAAATTATTGGTCATTTTGAAAGAATTATTTTACATATTGACAATATAAGGTACAGTGCAGTGTTACTTTAAGAAATATTCTTTATTTAGCTAGTTTAACTTTAGAAAATCGTGTTGCCATTGTTTGAATCCCAGCATGGGGCCCTAAGAGATCCAAGAAAAGTGATTTCAAGTAAATAAAAGCAGGAAATAATAAAAAACCACGAACAAGGTATTAAATCCGTCTGCAGCTATGTAAAAGAATATGGCGTAATAGGCATCAACTGACAATGGGCGATTCTTTGCACAAAAGACATTTAAGGAAGTGAGCGACAAGGAGACAAATCTACAAGAGTGTTTAAAGAAATAGATCTAATAAATTGAAAACTGAGGGTTACTTATCATCTAGTTAAGGGAAAAACAGATGAAAGGTGATTCAGTTTCTGGCATTTCATTGTGAAAGAGCCAGGGAGATTTATATAATTTAAGACAGATCAACCTGAGACATTTCAGGAACAGAAATTTGAAAATTTTTGAGACTAGTAGTTCGAAAAATTTAGAAAAAAGTGACATTTTAAGTGTTGTTAGGCATGGTGAAGCTGCTAGTGCTGATAAAAGAAGGGGCAGCAAAGTTTTAATTGAATTTAAAAAACTGATGGAAGAAGAAAAATTATCTTCCACAGCAAGTGTTCAATGTTAATGGCTTTAGACATTCTGGAAAAAAGATGTTTAAAGAACATTCATCACCAAGGATGCGACCTGCTTTACCTGGGCATAAACTTCCAAGAAAAGACCGTCACTCTATTGCTTGGTGCCAATGCTTCAGGGGATTTCCGACTGAAGCCCTATTGTCTACCACTCTGAAACCCCAGGGTGTTCAAGCAACAGAAAGTGGTAAGAACAATGCTTGGAGTTTATTGGAAGTCAACCGTAAAGGCATGGGTGACAAAGGTTCAATAACTTTAGCTGAATGGGCTGTTGATGTGTTTGCCCTCTGTCAAGAGCTACCTAACCACCAATAAACTTCCTTTAAGGCTCTTCTCCTCATGGATAATGCTCCTGGTCATGACCTGACCTTTTGAAATTTGGAGTATAAATTTGACTTTGTGAAAGTGTTGTTTTTGCCTCAAGCACTACATCACTCATACAGCCAATGGACCAGAATGCCAGTCAACAACTTCAGGAGGAGACAGCATGAAGAAATGTTTAGGAGGTGTCATCAGGCAACTTCCATTGATCCTGAACTAACACTGAAACAGTTCTGGAAGACACAATTCAGCGTCCTGGAGGCTGTAAAGGTGATTGTGTCATCATGGCAAGAAAGTCTCCAATAGAACCCTCAATTCTTCATGGAAGCACTGTGGCCATCAGTAGTCCATGATTTTGAGGATTTGAGGATGACACAGAGTTGGACCAGGAAGATTGTGTCCATTGATTGATCAGCTGGGTCTTGAAGTGGAGAGAAGGATGTGGAAGAGCTTGTGATGTCATGAGGAGAACTTACTCTAATGACTTGGAAGGAACTGGATGAGATGTTACGGGTAGGGGCTGACAGTGGTGAGGAGAGAATTGAAAGTGATGACCATATGTCAATACTAAACAGTTCAGATGTGATTTACCATAGGGAGAAGTTCAGAACTGGCTTCAACACCAGAAGTGAAAAAAACTAGACTAACTTTGTGTCATGTTGAGGACTCAGTGGTCCTCCTTCTTTAAACATAGAAGTTATTGGTGAGGACAGGCCCACAGACCACAATCCGACATACTGCTTCAGTAAAAGGCAGAGAGACAAGATGCTAGCCCTCCAGCCTTCCACTTCAGAAGGAGAGGATGTTCATGGTGGAGAATCTGTCAGTCCAGAGGTTCTGACATTTTCATGGAAGGTGACTCACCTTCCAAGAGCCAGTAAAATGCTTCTCCTCCACCTCCACTTCCTTCTCTCTTCTCCTTCTCCTCCTGCACCTCACTTCAAATGCATCATCACCATCATCCAGGACCTTCTACATACACACACCTCAAAAGTAAGTAAATTTTTCCGCCATTTTGTTGAAGTTAAGGAAATTTTGGGTGAGCTGAACCAATTACCCAAAACCCATTGAAACAATGGTTTAGGATTATGACGTTCGGTTAGCAAACGACCTGAGCAGTTGAGTTAGATTAACCGAGACTATATATATATGTATATATATATATATATATATATATATATATATATATATATATATATATATATATATATATATATATATATATATATATATATATATATATATATATCCAGCTATATATATATATATATATATATATATATATATATATATATATATATATATATATATATATATATATATATATATATATATATATATATATATATATATATATATATATATATATATATATATATATATATATATATACGTGAAAACTGGATTTACAGAGTACGATCTTCAAGGGTTAACTGTAATAGGATTTTGGGCAGCTTGTGTATAATTATTATATGTAAATTGTACTTAAAAAGAACATGATGTTTAGGTATCCGAAGTTCGAATTTTTCCAGAATTCGAACAAGGCTTGGCCCATGTAATCTGGATTTGGGAAGTTTGACTGTAATTTAAAAAATTTTGGCAACATTTGTAAGCATGTTTCATTTTCTCTTATACATTTCCTATCTTTAAACAAATTTTAAAAAACTTTCCACCTGAATAAATTTCAACAAATGAAAAGACCTATCATTGCGCATAAATAAATAAAGCACTTTTCCATACTAATGTTTAAGAACTACGAAAGAAAACACTGTCCTAACTGATTCTTCTGAGGAGAGTCAGCACCAGGCATAATTAGTTTTCATCTTTACAAAAATTTAAGAAACATCCAACTTTTTGACCTGATACCAAGATTACACCTGGCTTTATACTGTAACAGAAAGTTTCAGGGTAAGCCAGATACCTGTCACATCCCTAAAAGATGTGCAAACATACAGGCACGCATGCATGCAAGCACAAAGCATTCATCAAGCAAAAGTATATACTGTACATGCCAATAATTTCAATGACTTACCATATAACCGGTTGATGGAGCTTCAGGTGGGGCAATCCTTAAACCCTGGCTAAGAATGCCAGCCCAGTTGGACAAACGTGAGCCGTGCCATAACAACATGCGGTTCCCCACATCTTTGAATTTCTCATACTCAGCTTCTTTCTTGCATGCAAACAACTCCACCAACTCCAAATCATAATTATTGTGGGTTTTCCCATGAGTAGTCTTCAAGTACTTCTCTATCACCTGAAACAAAGATTCCAATTTATTCCATATTTCATATACTGTACTCTATATAATAAGCGACTCAAGATTAAATTCACTGCATTTGTAAAAGCTGCTATATGCTATTGGAAATGTGGATGATGATAATGAGGATTTTTAAGGATACTTGGAGTAAATCCTATCATCAGCTGAATCAAGAGTTTGAACGGAGCAGGGGTAGCCTAGAAGCAACGAGGACCATGTTCAAGTACCGAAAGATGAGTTGACATATAAAATGACAAAATGACAAATGGAAAGGTTAATGATAGCTCTAGAATAAATGCAGAAATGTTGAAAGCTTCAGACAATGCTGACATGATGATGGTGAGTGACTAATGTATTTGTGACAGATGACTGATTAAAATGTTGTGATTGTAAGCACTTACAAGGGAACTGTGGAAACCACAAGGGCCTCAAAGCCGGTAGATCATGAAAGTTGTGAAAAAAGTAATTAAGAAATTGAAATGGGAGAGAATGAATATTAATGAAATGCAGTCTTTAAAACTACAAGAGAACTATTTAGGGAAGTAAAGAAAAATGTACTTTACATTTGTAGACCTACAGAAGGCATATGACTTTATTACAAGAGGTATAGCAGTGGGGAAAGGAGAAAGTTAGAGATCAAGCAGTCTCTTGTTCAAGTGGTTATGGCATAATTCAAGGGGTCAAGAAGTTCTGTGAGAGCAAATGGTTAAGAAGTGAGGAATTTGTGGTGAAAATTGGGTCCATCAAGGGTCTGTCTTGAGCCCAATAATTGTTCATCATGGTGTTAGAGCCATTACTGGGAGACTTTAAAATTGGTCTGCCCTGGGAGTTGTTGTATGCAGATGACTTAGTGTGGTGAAATATCTAAAATAAAGATGGAATGGAATCAAAGAGTATGATAGTGAACTTGGCAAAAACAAATGTTAAGACCAATGTCATAAATAAAGAGCCCATGGCAGAAACTGGAAACATTATATGTAATATCTGCAAGAAGAGTGTTGGCAGTACCTACAAAAATTGCAGTGTGTGTGCAGAAAGTGGGTACATAAGAGGGGTAGTGATGTAAATGACACAGATTATAGAATGTTCCTGACTTACTGTAAGTGTGTCGTATGTACAAGTAGCATTAGCAAGGCTGAAAAAGGTCGACATTGGGGTTATACCCTTGGACTGTGTTAGTAAATTATACTACCTGGGTAATATGATGAGAGGTGCTGAAGCAAAGGAGTTTCTCTTTGCTTGAAAGGAAAGGTATATGCAACTGGTATAAGAAGCATAATGTTGTATGGCAGTGAAACATGGTTAATTTTATAGTGGATGACATATGTAGGCTTCAGTGAGTTGAAATGACAAAGGTGAGATGAATGTGTAACATGATGTCGAGAGATAGGAAACTCTGTTCAGAGCCGAGGCTAGGTATTGAGAGCATTGGCAAAAATTTTTGCCTAAAGATATGAGATGGTTTGAGCACATGAAGAGAATGGAAGAGATCAAATGAGTCAAGAGTTGTATAAGTTTGAATGTGGAGGGGAGGAGAATTAAGAGTAAGCCAAGAATGACATATATAAGAGCCTAAAGATAGAGGCTGCATCATGATGAGTTACCATCAGTTACAGCTAACCGATGCAAGCATTGAAAAAGGTTTTAAAATGGTGATGATGATTATTATGATGCACTGTTCTCATGGCTACTTCATTTTGGCTCCAATATGTTAATAAAACAATTCCTACACAGCCTATACATGATTAATCAATTTAAATTCTATAAATTGCTAATATCCTATCCATTTTTATAATTTTAATTTATCATATACCAATAGCGAAGGTGTCTCATTTAATGGCAAATGACGCAGGTAAGTGAAAATGAAGTGAGGGCATTTGTGCTACACACCATCAGCAGTTTTCAATAAAAAAGGGTAGCTGGATAACTACACAAAAGTACCTTAAATTACAATAAACTCCTTTTTTTCTTCACAATCTTGCCCATATGCTTTTACTTTTTATATCCCTAAAACATAAAGCATGTCCTTAAAATTCGCAGATTTTTAATTTGCAGCCTTTGATTATTCACGGATGACATGCATGATGTTTGTGGCATGTTTGCGGCCCTCCACCTGCCTACCTTCATCTTCATCACCATCATCATATTCATCAGTGGCAGGGGAGAGAGGAATGGGCTCTATACAAACAGCAAGAATGGAATAGTGAGTGTTACTTAAAATAATGTATAAAATGAATTTAATTAAAAAAAATTCAGATTTTATTACAATCTGTACAAACAAAAATATTACCCCCCCCCCCCCTCCAGACAGCAAATGGTATTTGAGGATTTGGCCATTTGTGGTCATTTTGAGACCCACACCCCCCATGAATTTTAAGGGCATGCTGTACTAATCCAATTCTTACAGCAATTCTGTCATTTGCTCAACTTTTTTTTTATGGAGAAATGCTAGGTACAGGACTACCCCAGTTATCAAACAGGGTTTGGGTCTCAAAATGGCTGTGAATTTCCAAAACCAAGAATATTATTTGCTGACCGGGGGTGGGGTGGGGTTGGGTGGGGAGGTGTGAGGCAGGGGGGGGGTTACATTTTACTCATATACAAAGAATTGTATATTCCATTTACGTGTTTGCCCTTAGGACAATTAATTCCTTTATCTGTGTGTGTGTGTGTGTGTAACCACACAAACACAAAACACATACAAATAAATAATAATGGGAAAATCTTCTCTCAAATAATCAGGAACAAGACAACAATGTATCGAAATGTAGAAAAAAAAATGTGAAAGTCTACCCTCAAGTCAACTCCATCAAAGATGGGTTGGTTGGGTTGCCATACAGTAATTTTTTCCTCATAAAAATTACTGTCTCTATAACCACCAAACCCTTGCTGGGAGTGGAGGGGGGGGAGAGGGCAGGAGGGGGGTAGGAGGAGGGAGAGTGACATGTTTGACAGTTGGCACCGAGGTCTAGTGAAGTACACTGTACAGTATTTATTTGTTTATTTATGTCCTTTAGATTGAGTTTTTGATTTTTGCTTATAAAATGTCACAGAAGTGACCAGGCAGAATATAATTTACATTGGAGGAATTCTTATAAGATAGCGATTAATTTGAATGTAAACATGCGATAGTTTGTGTGGGAGACTCAGGTGCTCCTTACAATCAGGGGTAAAGGAAACACACTGATGTCAAGTTCGTAAGTTCTATTTCTGGGACAAACACAAAAAGGAGTTAAGACAGGGGTAAACAGCGTCCTGTCTTGGAATCTCTCTGGGTATCTCTATCTGCGCATGCGTGTACAGCGCGCATGTGCCCAAAACCTGAACTATCACTTGTGACAAAAGGGAGTATGATTATAATACATATAATACAGAGACCTGAATCAATAATGGTAAATAGTACAGAGTTACATATTACAGCCATATTCGTCTCGTATATCTACAGTTTGCACTAGACAAAAATTTTAGTAATCATTTTGTACATTATTTTGATTACATGTACAGTACAGCTTTGCCCTTAGGACAGTGTGTGCATGTAAATGAGTTTCAATAAATT